ATTGAACATTGTATAATCATGGTCTCCAATCAAAAGTTTCCCCTGTGGTATAAGAAGAAAAGATGAGAGTATCTCCTAACCGTTAAAAAATTTTAATTCATCCTTTAAAAAATGTAGTTTGTGGATTTTATATAGATAGATAGATAGATAGATAGATAGATATAGATATAGATATAGATATAGATATATAAAGTGATACATGTTGATAATTTTAAAACAATCAACACATATTGGGGTGAATGCTGCATTATTTTTTTTAATTGTTAGGAGTTTGTGGTCAAAACTTGCATAGCCTTTAGCTAGATAAGCACTCAAGTAAATCTATGGGTTCTATAAGTCAGTTACTCAATACTGTGGTTTATTATTATTATTGTTACTATTTTCACAAAAGCAATATATATTAATTGTAGAAAATGAAGAAATTACAGAGAACTACTAGAGAAAGGAAAAAATCACCTATAACTCTCTCTCTATTTTAGTGCTTATTATCTATCCCTTATCTAACCATACATACTTTATCTGTGTTTAAGTATCTATATATAAGCATATAATTTTCAAAATTATCAAACTACAGCAGCTGTCTTATAACTCTTTAATAAATAATAAATTATGAGTATGTTATTTAGGAACAGAATTTTAATTGTCTATACACTAGAAGTTTGCATAAAACTGCATACTAATATTTACCTATTTCCTATAGTTGAATATTTAGGTTCTTTTAAAATTTTTATTATTTTAAATAATAGCTATAAACTTCTAAGTAACTTTACTGCCACCATAATTCTGTTACTATTTCTAAAGGACACATTTCTATAAGTGGAATAGCTGGAAGAAAATATGTGCTAATTTCAAATATTTGATATGTGTTATAAAGTTGGTCTTGTACGAATGTATGTGCCCATTAGTAATTATGAGTTCCACACCGTCCTCACCACACTAGGCATTAACATTAAAACCATGGTAATTTGCCAATTTGATTAGTGAAAGCTATCTATTACCTAGTTCCTAACCAGTTTCCTAACTAGTAGGAAAACTAGTGAAACTCCTCTGGCTGTTTACTCATGCAGGGGTCTCAGTATTGGAAGCCACAATAGATTGAGTTGAAAATATCTGAGGATAGGACGTGGAAGCCATTGGATGTCAAGCAGATGGGCCTCAATTTGGTCTTGTGGACCACTCATTCCCAAGGGCAGATTTGGAAATTTGGGCAGATATTTTTGTTTTCACTACTGATGTTTAGTAGGTGGGGACCAGAGATGTTAGCAGCTCTGCAATGTGCAGAGCAGTCTTGAGCTATGAAGAACTGTCTCATGTCTTGTACTTTCAAATGTCCTACTGGAAATGCATGAGGTGAGAAGCCTGATTACAATTATCCAAGCCCATAATCCAACTCTATTCTACATACTAATGCAAAATATTGTGCCCATTTTTAATAAATACTGTTTTCTGCTACCACGTACACCAAGAAGAAAATGTTTTCTTCACCGTTTTACTAAGGGTTGTGTACCACTTTTTAAAATCACATTGCTAATATCACACTATTTCTGTTATTCGTATCATCAAGATCACCTTCTTATAACAGTCTGTATTTGTTTATGGCTCACACTCACTGTGATTCTAAGAGTACGTGTGAGAATCTTATCACTTCCTCATGTCTTCTAATTGTCACACCCAAGCATGTAATGAAATACATGTCTTTATTATAAACTAAGTTATTTTTGCTTCTTATTACATGTGAGGCCTTCTATTGCCTTTTACTAAATGACATGTGGGTAGGTAATAGTTTCTACTGTTTTCATTTTGTGAAAGTAAAGGAAACATTAACAATATTTATTCTAAACAGTGGTGATTGGGTCTCTAAGGTTGAAAACTGCTGCTGCAGAGAACAGGAAGCTACTCAGAAGCTTCCAGCAGGAGAGTGACATGATAAAGCAGAGCTGAAGGTATGAATGCGCAGAAAGTAAAAAAAGTAAATGGGAAAAAGACTTGGCAGGAGGCAGAGACCAGAAAATAGGTAACCTCAATCTGGGCAGGGAACTAATGAAGACCTAGAATCCCAATGCCTCGAAGAATCAGAAAGAAGAGCATTTTATAAACGACATCTTAAAAAGAGAAGTCCTTGGAACCCAGTGATTGAATATAGTGTCACAGAGTGACTGTCATAGTGTTATTAGACTGCAGAGTGATTGTATTCTCAAAAACAGTCTCACACATGTACAAATACATTTATAAGCACACACACACTTCCACACTCTCAAACTCCAGAGTCATTACCAAATAATCCCTCTCCTCTCCTACTGTCAAAGGGAAGACTTATCACCCCACTGATTCTGAAATCTGACAGCTCAACCTGACACTTGGCTGAATCTAAGCGGCAAAGCCTTATTTGGTTTATTTGTTTGTTTGTGATCCTTCATCCTAGATAACCCCCAAATAAATTTCAAGTGTGTTTAAGTGCATTCCAGGTTATGAATCATATATTGCTTTCTCATACTACAGTAAGCATAAAACCACATAGATCAACAATAGATATATATGCCTCCTTTCTTTGCCAAGTTTATGCACACGCACCTCCACAAAGAGAGAATAAAAGGAACTAAGAACCTGAGAACCAATGATAATTTGTCTGCAGTGTACATGTTTACTAACCAGAAGCAACCACAACAACTAAAATAGAGTGATATTAGACTAGACAAAGGAAACATGGTTGTAAATAGCAGAAAAACAATTCCAAAATGAAGGGACAGAGAATCATGGATCTTAACCGTGAGAGAGCCAAAGCTGGCATATACTGGGGATAGAAGAGAGTGTCCTGATTTATATTCAATTTTCGGTTAAGAATAAAAGTGTATTATATACCAAATTATCTGATTTTAGTTTCTATATCCATCATCAATTTTGAATTTTCTGATAATAAGTAACATAAATATTTCTTTAAATAATGGAAGAGTGAACCAAAAATATCTCCAAACACAATAGGACTATTTAGTTATCTGGATCCGTGTCTGTACATTAGTACCAAGTCAGTAAAACACAAGTTATCACATTCTTGGTTGCTTTTCTTAACAATTGAAATGTGAGAAAAATGGCAACCATTTCCTTATCGACTCTAAGCAATATTCACCCATCCCACCAAAAAAATTTTAAAAAGTCAGTTGCATTCCATCAAAGTGGAAAATGTCCCTAGAAACCTCACCATTAAATTCTCACATTGTCCAGCTCTTGTTTCTTTCATGGGTTACTTACCACCTGAAATGTATTCTTTAGCACTGTCCCATTCACAGTGTGTGGCAACAGTGCCAGACGAATCCCAAGAGCTGTGTTAACTAAGCCCCAGGGGGGTAACGGAGGGCTTGTCTCTGCAAAGGCACAGATAACACCATCCCTCTCCCCCACCTCTGCTGCCCGATCTCAGGTTTGACAAAAGCAGAATATTTCTATATTGACTGTGTATCACGCTACAGTGCAGAAGGCTTCATGAGCCATAAATAAACAGAAAACGACCTGAAGTTAAAAGGAGATGCTGCAGGTGAGGGTATAAGTGGCTAAAGCTTAACGGATCCCTCTTCCTCCTCATTAGGCACAAATTCCAAGCTCCTTGTCTTGGAAGACTAGGTGCCCATGCCCTACCCTCTGCCTGCTACTCTCATCTCACCTCCTACTGCTGTTCCTTTGTACCCCTGTGGTCTCTGAATCACACCCTCCTCTCTTAAGACTGAGTCATTATAACGTCATTCTTCCTGGAATCCATGTCTTTGTTCCCTACTTATTGTTGAAGGCTCAGCTCTAGTGTCACACATTGGGGTAGATATCCTTTCCCTCTGCTTTCACTGCAAACAAGGTTTATCTACATCTAAGTACCTGCTAGTGATCTTATGATTGTCTCTTTACTCATTTCTCCCCCAAACCCAAGCTTCTTAAGGGCAGGGACTGAGTCTGTTTGATGTTTTTATCCCCAGCGCACTGCACAGTGAGCACTCGGTAAATGTTTGTCGCTTGCCTGACTGGGAAGTTTTTCCTTTTCTTCCAAAGGGCAAGTAGAAGGGCTATTGCCTGTTAAAGCTGTTAAAACTGTCATTGATTTCCCCTGTTGAGGGTAGGGAGGGGGCTGCAAGTGAGAGCTTTTACTAACCAGAGTCACAGATCTAGCTGTGCTTGAGAGGGAAGGCACAAGGGATAGAGGATTACCTAACTTGGTACCAACTGCTGTGAACGCTCACTCTATATGTCATGGCCACAAAATCCTCAAGGGGATTCCCACTAGTTCACTTCAATATACACTATGTCCATGCAGCAGGCGAGTAGGATCATGAGACTTCATAGCGCCTAGGGGTCCGGGTTAGAGGCAGGATTTGACCAGCAGTGCCATGCTAGGGGAGATGCAGGTGAAACACAAGAGTCCCTAGAGCCCGGGGCTCCCCTTCACTCTGCATTGTCAATTTGCACCAGATGTGTGTGAAGACACGTTCAAGCAGATTTTATTCAATGATCAGTTGCAAGCCATTGCTGGCATCTCTTCTTTTTTATCACATAAGCCCCTTGGGCATAAGATGCAAGGCCTCTGTTGGTGGAAAGAACAAAAGGCCTCACACTCACAAGAGTACCAGATTTAGACTTTTCACATTATCTCCAGCCGAGGTGATGCAAATAGTCACAGACATGCACTAGCATAGCTGAAAGAAGAAACAGTTCATCATGTAACTTTAATCGTGTGTCCTATTACCAGATCACACTTTCTGAGGTGTGCTGTGAATTAGAATTTCTAATAAATTCTATTATTTTACAAATGGCGCAATTATCTTGAATTCGTGTATGTCAAGTATATCAACTTGTTAAATAATGTTTACAACTTTTTTGGCATGACAGATTTAATAAACTAAGAGCCACCTCTCTAGTTCTTCAAGAAGTTCTTGTGAGTACAGAATCATTAACAGGATCAATAGGCAATGGCATTCACTCTATTTCATTGAAAGGAAAAATACAATTTACTTATTACTTACCAAGTTAAGTTTTTCCCAGAACTCAGGTCCTTCTTCCATCTCTCTGAGGCTCGGCGGAATGTACCAAAAACAAATATTGGCATATTCAGGCTGAAGATTAAGAAAATTTGAAAGTTGTTTTATAAACCTAAGGTTGATTTTAGAATGCAATTAAACTCTTTGCTAGTTTTTTTGAGTTATCATGTCTGTATTATGTTGATAACAAATCAGAATCTGATAGCATAGACATCCATTCTGCCTTACTTCTGATAACAGCCTATTGGGAATTTTTCTTCTCAATCAGGTGCACCTAGAGGGTGCTTCCCTCTAGATAAGGGATGAGCACAAGATCAAGAATAAATATAATAAAGTTTGAAGCTGACTCCACCCAGTTCTGATACTCAGAGCCTGATACACACATGCCCAGAGAGGCCTTGGTTCTTCAACTTCAATCTTAATCCTAAAATTATTTCTTATACTCATATCCTTCCAATAATGATAGCCAAAGTTGTCTTCTATTACCTGCTCACGTGACATGCAAAAATCCCTGATTATCTGTGAGTTGATAACATATGACATAATTGGGTTTCACTTAACCAGCCCTGCCATGACTCTAGCCAGTTCTACTCTGGCGAGGGGGAAAAAAAAGCATCACCTGACCCCTAGATCACAAGTTTTAAACATCAGTAAGGACGTGAACCAGCTAAAAGCCCAGAATGGGGATTTTCTATCTTTGTGCTTGGAATGCCCAGAGTTTGGCCAAGTTCATCAGAGAAAAGTCTGAAGAACTGGCATTTTAAGAAGTATCTCAGGCTATTCGGCAGTGGGTAGTGCATGGTCTATGTGTGGGGAACTCTGATCTAAAGTGGTCGCAACCCAGTCATCTCCTCCAGTAATCTGCGTTTCTATCAGACGTGATTTGGTTAAACATTGGATAACATTCCAGAATAGCCTTTAGTCCAGCCATTGTCACATAGACAAAACCTTTCTCCACCACACCCTTCGTCCTCACTGGACAAAAAAATAAGGCATGCCAAAGGCAATCACAAGACTTGTACTTGATGACCAGATGTTTTGGGACATTACGTTAAGGCTTTACAAATTACACACACAGAATCGTGTTTAGTAAAGATTATGAGTCATGTCCACCAATCAGCACCTTCCTTGTCTAATTCTTAGCATGGACAGTATTTCAAATGACTTTTATTTTTCCACCACAAACACATTGTGTAGGCAATAACCAATGTTATAATAGTTCTCAGTAACTATCAGAGTTATGCTTCAGTATTAGTATAAAGCTTCAAAGTATTTCAGAAAGAAGAAATAGCTACCATCTCATATCTTAAAATCAAAACTGGTACTATTTAGAGTTCTGATTTTAGTGGATTTTCAATCACAAACAAATGTCCAGAAATATTCCCAGCTCAACAAGGTAAGTTCTTGTTCTGTTCATGCTTTCACCTTTGAAACCTGTAACATGCTTACTGGATTTGACAAAGAAAAAAGTCTACAAATCTTCAAAATATAGAGTAGTTCAAAATGGAGTACTATGTAATTTGACTCAACTTCCACAAATATTAATCACGAGACAACAATAGTCTTTACAAATCTATACAATTTATACTTGGAGTTCTGACTTATAATTGATTTGTTATCTCTAGAGTTTACTGGCCTTCAAAATTCTTTAGTAATTTAATGTAAAATCTTTTAAAATAAAATAACTGTGGTTTATTAGAAAGTAGAAGAAAAGTATACTTATTGTCTGTCACTAAGTTCTAAGAATTCATGTCTTTATATTAACAAAGATGTTTTTCCAGATACCATTTATTTCAGTTATCAATTTCTCACCTCTCAGCTACAAAGCCACCCTTTCTCTGTGTCTGGCAATGATGGAGGTGGACTCTATAAATATTTCTCCTTGCCGTCGGGTCCAATCTTAGACTTTATCAGCAGAGGGTGCTAGAGAGACTCCGAGAGGGAAAAGGTATCTTCCTGGTTTCGGTGTGCCCACATTATGAACCTCCTGAAGTGTGCGTAGTTCTTTTCAGCAGCATTGGTGACCAGCAGCCAGTGGCCACCCTGACAGCTTCCCTCAACACCTGCTCTTTGCGTGGCTTCATGGCAGACTAGCAGCAGGTGGGCGCCCATAAATGGCCTTTTCTAGTACACTCCCCTCAGGTGGTTTCATAGGAGAGAGTAGCCAGTGAAGCACCTTGCCTTGCATGGCTTCTCTGGCATCCCTGTGAGTTGCTTGAGTAAGTTTTAAGGTATGGTACTGCCCTCAAAATGAGTTCTCCCAGCACCTCAGAAGGTGGATTCCTAGAGAATTCCACTGGTGTGACACCTCAGTGAACTTCTCTGCCATCCATTGACTCACTCTGTGGCCTCTTCAACCAAGTTGGATCTAAGCCCTGGGAGGGAGCAGCTCTGCCTTGGGTGCTCCATCTCACTTGTAGGGGTGATGGTTATTCTTTACATCTGCTATTCCTGTATTCTTTAGTTTTTTTTTCTCTCTCCTATGAGGCATTCTCTCATGACTCCAATCTCCTGGTAATTTTTTTTTTTATTATTATAGAATGATTCACAAATTTCTGTGTCATCCTTGCACAGGGGCCATGCTAATCATCTCTGTATTATTTCAATTATACTACATGTGTTGCCAAAGCGAGCACAATAATTCTTTATATTGCGCTTTCTCGCTTCAAATGACTGTGCAATTTTTGTCTTCTTCTTGGATCATGATTAATACATCATTAAATTAGTCCTTTTCATTTGCATGGCAACATTATGAGTCACTTTGCAATAGTTTTACCTGCTACCAGATCTGTTCTATATTTTTTTAGAACCTAGAACTTTTGAATCACCTTTTAAAAATTTGCTTCCTTTAGTAAGTTTCTGTTTAGGTATCTTCCAAGTGACGTATCTATCATTTCTTTTGCCTAGTCTCTTTTAGAATGGTATGGCTTCAAGGATCTGACATTTGAATACTGTGAAATCCTTCTGACACATCATTTTATTGAAGGAAATTTGATGCTCCATTTGGTGGCATGCCTTTACTGTGGTCACTTCCAAAATTATTAAGAGTTGGAAAAAATATCCCTTTACATATTCACAAAAATGTATTTGAATTATTCCAGAGTGAATTTCTTCAAGAGGCCTCAGCTCTAAGGAGTATTTTCAGAGTAGAAACATTCATGAGCCACTTAATTTCTCACAAAAATGAAAGTATGATATCTTGGGTGTCTTAGGAACACATTTAGTATGCTCTCCAATACCATAAAATTTAGAAGGCATAGAAATGAATCCAAGTGTCTAAACCACACAGATGATAGCGCAGGGTACAAAAAACCTGCAGTAATAGAAAGCATTGTCACAATCTTTAAAAGTTCATGCAGAAGTAGAGAAGTGTCACTAAAGAAAAGATGGATACATTTTATTCTGATTTTCAAGAGAGAAAAAAAAAAAAAAAGATTCCAAGAAATAAAGCAGGTGTTTTGATGTCAATTCCAGCAAAGATTTTTGAGCAAGTGAGATGAGATCTCTTAGGGAAAAAAGTGAATGGGCACCAAGATGTAGTAGCTTGTATTCTCTAAAACTGAGTCACATCAAAAAAATTAATCTTCTTTGCTTACAGTGTCATTAGATCATAATAATAGCAATAAAAAAAAGCATCATGCATTTTTATATGTATAAATGTAGAATCTAACACAGATTGAAACATAGATTGAAACAATTGATCATGCAAATATAGAATGGAGAAAGGAGGAACAGTGGATTTTAAATGACTTCAAGCTCATAAGTTTTAAATAGCTGATTAGATGACTACAGATTTCAAAAGCAGCAATGAATAGAATGAAAACCTTGAGTTTTGTAGTCACTTGGATGTGGTTTGAATCTCAACTTCACCAGGTTTTTGCTTGGATAAGTGTCAAACTATCTCTGTTTTACTTCCTAATGTATAAAATGGAGATGACATTGTTTGCCCCACAGAGTTGTTTTGATGCATAAAGAGGTCATTTATTTCCCATATTTAGTAATAATATATGGTATTCAGCGGGTACACTCTATTAGTTTAGTATTCTATTATTTGAGATCATATTGATAGAAAGAGATATCCTTTTCAAGTGAATAAATGCCCTCACTAAAATCTGTGAGACACATCACTTTGTTAATTTCTGCATACAATATTTGAAGGGGAACATTAAAAAAAATTAGAGCATGTCCAAAAAGGGCAACCAAAATGTTCAATTTAATAAAAAAAATTTATATGTTCCAGATATTGGAATAGACATCGGGATGAGAATAAAATGACTTACACTTATATATGCATATCCCCAGGAAATCAGAAACTAGACATGACACTAGGTACAAGCAGTTAAACTGCAATGTAATGAGCATTACAAAAGAGAAATTTCCCATAATCCAAGTAACACCCCTGGCAAAAGGAATGGTTCACAGGTAGAAGCCAGTGATCAAGGAGGATAGCAAAGACTTGGAATGAATAGATGACAAAGTGTACTGAAGAAAGGTAAAGTTGGAAGTGAAGATGGGAGTCATTTCATAAAGGGCTTCCTCACATGCCATGCTTGGGAGTTGGTCTGGATCCTAGAGGCAATGGGAGTTACTAGAGAGTTTCAATCTAGGGAACAGATTTCATTTTAGAAAGGCCACAGTGAGCTGTAGTGGCTGGAGGGGTCTAAAACTAGAGATGGATTAGGAGACAGTGCCTAATTCAGAAGTGATGGGAGCCTGAACTAAGGCAGTAGCTACAGGAGTAGAGAAGGTACTCAAAATACATATACATAAAAGGGAATGGAGACAGCAAAGACAACATCAAGAGTTTTCTTTGGATGGATCATATTGCTAGTGGTTCAATGAAGAATGCAGAATTTGGGTAAGAAAAACTGCTACACTTCAGATTTGGAAGTCTTACATTTGAGTTACTTGTAGGAGTCTAACTGAAAATTCCAGGACATGTCCATATACAAAGGACTAGAGTTTAGGAGACAAGACAAGAATGGAGACATTATTGAGGCTATTGATAATAAAGCTCTAGACATTCATAAAACATTTCAGGGAAAGTATGTGAACACATGAAGGGCCAAAGACAAAGGAGTGAAGAACAACATTTCACAGGCTACTCAGATGAAGAGACCTGCATATAGAGACTAAGAATAAAAAGTCACATGGAAAGGAGAAAAACTGGGAGAGAAAGTCAAAGAAACCAAGACAGGAGAGGACTTCAAGAGGGATGGAGTAGATAACGTCATAAAATGCTGCAGACGTACAACCAGATGATTACAGAGAGTGAGTTGGATTTAGAAATTAGAAGGTTGTTGAGATCTAATAAAACTATACGAAAAGGGAATTGTAAATTGCAATGTGCTTGATATACATTAATAGTAGGGTTCAATAAGTATTAGAAAATGAGTAATTAGAGCTCTCTGGAAGAGGACTGTGACTTCTCTGACACAGAAAGTGTTCAGGCAGAGGTTGACCACCTGTTACAGATACCATCAGAGAGGTTTCCTACACTGAGCAGAAAGTTATCTAGATGTCCTTGAAAATCCTTTGTGACTCAGAAAGTCAATAAAACCTAAATAACTCTTCCTAATGTAGAACTCAGGGAAAGAAAAGAAAAAACTTGAATGATTAGGACTCTCCCAAGAGATCAAAATAAAATATGTGAATGATAGTATAAGAATGAATATACCTCTAGGAAAACATCTATTAGATCTTAGATGCAACCCAGGAAAACAGAGGTATGATTTTCAGGGGCCTACGAATAATGCAAAATCATTCATTTGAAATGATAACTTTCAATCATCTTTAAGAAGATATGCATTATTTTTGCTCTTTTCAGGAAAAGATATTCGAGTACTAGACACTTTGTTTTGTTGTGTTCATTTACTGCTTTCAATGTTGTACTTAACACTCTCACTGCTATCTGCTACACAATGAAAATATATACAGTGGTCCTCCCTTATCTATGGTTCCATTTTCAGCAGTTCCAGTTACCCACAGTCAACTGCAGCCCCAAAATATCAAATGGAAAATTCAAGAAATAAACAATTCATAAATTTTAAATTGCAAGCCATTCTGAGTAGTGTGAAGAAATCTCATGCCATCCCACTCTGTCCCACCCAAGGTGTGAATCACCCCTTTGTCCAGCATCTCCACCCATTACACCGCCCACCCATTAGTCACTTAACAGACGTCTCAGTCATGATATCGCAGTGTTTGTGTTCAAGCAACCCTTATTTTACTTAACAATGGCCCCAAAATGCAAGAGTAGTGATGCTGGCAATTAGGATATGCTAAAGAGAAGCCATTAAGTGCTTCCTTCATATGAAAAGGTGAAAGTTCTTGACTTAATATAAAAAGAAAAAAAAATCTTATGCTGAGGTTGCTAAGGTCCACTGTAAAAACAAATCATCTATCCATGAAATTGTGAAGAAAAAGAAATTTATCCTAGTTTTGCTGAGAGGCCACATTCATATAACTTTCATTACAGTATATTGTTATAATTACTCTATTTTATTATTAGTTATTGTTGTTAATCTCTTACTGTGCCTAATTTATAAATTAAACTATCATAGGTATGTATGTATAGGAAGAAACACAGTATATATAGAGTTCGGTAATATCTGCAGTTTCAGGCATCCACTGGGGGTCTTAGAACAGTATCCTCTGCATATAAGGAGGGGCTACTGTATATATAATTATAGATTTTGACTTTTCCTAAACTGAAAGAACTGCAGTTACACGAACATGAGCTCCAAATGAATCTTTGTATCTTGTAAGTATATATTAGGATTACATTTAATCAATCCAAATAAAGCGTCTGTTAATAAAAAGAGGCTAATCAACTTGACACATGTGAAATTCAAGGTCTAAACTTACTTTATTTCTGCAAAGAGAATACAGAGGAAAGAGGCAAATGCAGATGTTATTTAAACATCCTCATAAAGAGGAATTCTGGAGTATCATTGAAAAAGCCACTTTCACTGCTTTTGGGCCATCTGGCTGCCATAGATGAAATATCCAGGGCAGAAGGCTACCTAATAATTAAAACCCACCTTGAGTTTCATTACAAAAATGTGAAAGTATGTAGTTCCGAAAGAGGATGGTGAGAAGTGCCTCCCTCAATTTTTAAGCCTTTAGGAAGAATATATAACTTCTAAATCAGTCCATCTTTTTACTCACCACTTTTTGTCTATCAAAAACTGTGCAGCTCTGAGGTGTACAGCAATTTCCCTAAGCAGTGTAGCTCCCATAGCCAGAGAAATAAAAAAGGCAATTCAAACTAAGAAAATAAAGAGGCAACTCAACCTCAAGAAAATAAAGATGGCAATTCAAACTCAAGAAAATTAAAAAAGGTGACTCGAACTCAAAGTCAAGCCAATCATATGGATGTTATTTCACCCCTACAGGCTTATGTATCTCTAAAATATAGACATTTGCTCGCATAATCATAATGCCATTATCATGCCTAAGAAATTATTAATATTTTGTGGTATTATACAATAACCAGCTCATATTAGAAATACCCCAACTGTCTCAAAATTTGTTTTTTACAATTGGTTTTTTCAAACTAGAATTCCAACAGCTGCATGTGTTGCATTCAGTCATTATGTCTCTTCCATCTCTTTGAACCTAAAGTGGTCATTGCTACTTTCTCTTTGACTTTTCTTCATTCCACTAACCTGTTTAAACCCACTCAGTGGTCTTGTGGAGTGTCCCACATTGGAAATTTCTCTTCTTGCTTCTTTGAAGTGTTACCAGGAAGTCATTTAAATATGGATTCTTTTGCTATCTTTTGAAGTTCCTTTATATCCATATTTTTCAGGAACTTTGGACTCCTTTGTAGCTAATGGTGGAAGCCAGTCAGAATTCTCTGGAGCCGGGTTTCCCAAACTTGTTTGAGGACCTGGACTACTGCAACAGTCTCCCAGTCTGTCTCATTTATTCTTTCCCTGTCCTCCCTTGACGCCCCTGCCTCGCCATTCTTCTCTAACTATGACACCCAGTACAATCTTTTAAAATGGAAGTCATACTCCTGTCTGCTTAAAACTTCTCCAATGATTACACTTGTAATAAAAGCCACAGGTATTACCATGACCCACCTGACTCCAACTGATGTGGTCTCTGCCTACCTCTCCAATCTCAGCAACTATTGCACGTCCCCCGCCCCCCGCTTGCTTAATACACCTTTTGGCTCCTCAAACACATCCAAGTCTTATCAACTTTAAGCCTTTGCTATCATTTATTGATTCTACCTAGAACGCCTTTCCTTCAGCCATCTGCAAGGCATGCTGTTTACCAACTTTCAGGTCTCAGCTCACAAATAACCTCAGGGGGCCGCGCCTGAACTACCCAGACCAAACAATCCATCCTCCTCTCACAAATTGTTTTAGCATTTTACCCTGCTTATTTCCATTATAGTACTTACCCCATCAGTACCGACTAATTATTTATTTGATTATCTCTCATCAATTTGTTTTCTTAAGACTTCTCACTATCTGATATTTCCTATGTGTTAATTTGCTTGTTATTGTTTGTCACTTTTTATTTTAATGTAAGCACCATGAGAGCAGGGAACTTTCCTGCCTTATATTTCCAGTGCCTGAAACTGTGCCTGGCACACAGTAATCGCTCAATAAATCTTGCTAAATAAATGAATAACATCAAAAAATAGCCAGATTGTTTATATAGGCTGTAATCTCTAGATGATTTTTATATTAGGTTAAAAACTGCTATTGAGTATATGCTATAAGAAGATCTAAGAGAACCTCATACTTTATATTTCTTAAAAATTAGAATAATATTCCTCATATTTTCTAACCACATATTTGAAGGAAATAAACAATATCTCTATCTATGTAACCCACCTATTTCTTATGTATAGGAGACACTCTAACAATAAAATGACTTATTTTCCCATTGTTCCAAAGCTAATATGCTCTCATTATTTTATAAAAAGAGAAAGCTATATGCATTATTGTTTATTCACTTAATTGATTTTTCACATGCAGACACCACTATAGCACAGTTGAATATTTGCAGTACAATCATTATGCAATTTATATATCAAGATAGAGGTCATAATTTATTCAGTATTATCCTTGGTAATTATTATTGAGCACTTTAATTTTCGATACTTAAAGGCAAGTGTGTTCTCTGAATCCAACAAAGAAAAAATACTCCCTAATAGAGTAAATTAACATAATGGACTCTATGAATTGAGCTAATGACTTGTTTCTAAGTCTGCAACACAAAAACCAATGAAATATAACAGATTAGAAAATTACCACCTTCATCACTGTTGAGTGACAAAATCACAAGCACAATTCTGCAATTACTTACTTCCATCAGTAACTTGAATCCTTCTCTTTTCTTGATTTCTTCTACTAGGTACCTTTAAAAAAAAGTCAATAATATTTATAATTTGCATTTTAAAAATTCTATGAACATGACTGATATACAACAAAACTGTTATTTCTGATGCAGAGACAAGGCTTAGAAATACAAGACTTAGAAATAAGAAAGGATACAAGTATAGATATAGGTATGGATTTAGATAGATACTTCTGAAGCTCGAGTAAAGATATGTTTTTTGATGAGATTATGTCTCTCTCACATGTTAGTATTAGACTTTAACCCCTTTGTAAAATCCACACAAAGTAGATTGGCTATATATCTCTGACCATATGGGCTTCACATTCTTATTCTAGATGGGGATTTGGCATAGGGACTTAACTTACTTAGCTGGCTTGGGAGGAATGAGTTTTTGGTGTATAGTCTTGCTTGTAAGTTTATTCAAGATCAAAGAAGCCCAGTGCCATCTTTTTCAAGGCCAAGACAGAGGGAAGGAGGATTGATTATTGGTATCATGTCAAAGAAAGTAGGTTGTAGCCATCGACAGAATGTCTATTAATTCGTCCTTAATGTCAGGGAAAAGAGAATCATCATGCTATATGCAAAGGACACAGATACGTGAGATATAGAATATGATCAAGATAAAACTAAAATTACATTAAGAATGTAAAATAAATTAACAGTGACTCCTCTCCCTTGGGCTTGGTTACTGTCTATATAAAAAGAGAAGCCTTCTGAAATGATTGGCCTTAAAAACTAGTGATTTGATCAAGAGTCTGAAAAGTCTGTAACACCTGACCTAATATTTCAAATTTGTGGGTCAAATATAAGAAAATGATCAAGGGTGCTGACAAAAATATATTTGCTAGGGTATTTATTTTTATTTTGTAATAGCAAAAAAAAAAAAAAAAAAAGGAAAGAAAATACGAGAAAGAAAGGAAAGAAAAAAGGAAGGAAGGAAGGGAGGGAGGGAAGAAATATCACACCCAGCAATGAGGACTGGCTTTGAAAACTATGGTCCAGTCATATGGAATTATGGTACAACCATATGAAATTTAATCACACCACTAAATTATGTTTATTCAATTAATATTTAAGGAAAACAAAAAATGCTCTTCTTAGGCCTCAATTCCCTTACCTGTACAACTGAAATAACACAATCTGCTTTTCCAATCTCAAAAGTTTGTTATAAAAATTTTTTTAAATCATATATTAAAAAATTGGGACATATACAAACTGTGAAAATGGAGGTAGATATTATCATTACGTTCATTTGCTAAAGGCCATTCTAGAATGTTAATATGGAATACACCAGTTAATGAGATTCGGTTGTTTTTCCCCACACTTATTTGTATAGTCTTTCACAAAAGGTTAAATATTGGTGTTTAGATTATATCACCTTTGAATTATACAAAATATTATAAATATTCTATCATTATTAACTAGATAATATAGATCATTTATTGAGAGAAATAGTTGTGACCAGAAACACACACACACACACACACACATACGTGCGCGCACGCTCACAAAGTTTGATATTCTGCATACTCCTTTCCCTGAGTATTTTTTTAGGAGATGTAGCTATGAAGTTATGAAACTTTAGCACACTGTCTAAGTTACAGAAAAAGCAATTCCAGTGGTTAATAAACATCAGAAAAGTTGTTTGCACAAAGACATGCAAACTAAACCATGTTGCCCACATGAAACTGGAAACAAATTTTAAGAGAGACAATACCGAGTGCCAGTGAAATTGTGACAGAAAGCTGCTACAAGTCTTTTAAAATTAATAACAGTCATATCTTCTGATGCAGCAAACCACTTTTGAGATGCTGATCTACCAGGAAAAAATCAACAATACTAAAGACATATATCTATATACACAATACATATGTGTATATACATGTATACATACATGTTATTATATCTAAATCTCTGTGTGCATGTGTATGTATACAAAATAAGTAGAAACAAGATTAATACCCAAAAATTGGCAAATGGTAAAATAAAATGTATTATAACAATACAATGTAATATGATGCAGCTATTAAAAAGAATGAATTATATCTACTAGGATTAAACCACAGAGATGCTTATGATACATTAGTAAGAGGTAAAAGCAAAGTACTAAGAAAGGTGCATAATATGATTTCATTTTTTACAAAATTATAAAAAAGAAAGCAAAACTCATCCCTGTTCACGATTATATATGATCATAGAGTAAAGTACATAAGGATACATAAGGAATTGCTAATGCTTATCTAAGGAAGAGAAAAACAGGAGGCAACAGGGGTGGCAGAGATTATTAACTCTCTTTTTATACTTCTTTGCAAAGTTTCAAAGATGCGGCTTCTTGTATAATTTTTGAAAAGAAACTTAATAAAACATAAAATGGAAATAAGTAGACACATACCATCTCCATCTACATGAGGAAAGCTTGCAGGCCATACTTTTTCTCACCTTCTCAGACAGAAACGTATAGGCAGGCACTCTGTTAACTCAAAGCCAATGCTATAATTTCATCCTGAGACAGCCCTATACTAATCCTGGACAGCCTGAGGCTACAAAAATGCTTTGCATCTCCAGAAATCCTGGCAACGGCTACAGAGGATTCTAGTTGTGTAGCCAATCAACTCTGTGAGTAGGCAAATTCTTTAGCCATCCTGTGCCTGCCTCAGTTTCCTCATGCATGTAATGGAGATGTGAAACTAGACTGGTAAAATCCTTCCCTAACAGATTATGACTGTATAAAACTTACGCACACTACCTATAGTCTCAACTTAAAGTATTTCTGTCAAACTGGCTAAAGCTGCTCCTGGGAGAATGTCATCCTAAAACAAAGCTGAATCGTTTCAGTTAAAATTCTGCTTCTTACAAACCATGTGAACCTGCGGTTTGTGTCCTGACACAATGTCCCCACTGCAGTCATTCTCAGAGTCTGTAAAGCCCTGTATATCACTCCAACTGAGTTGAGGATAGAGGTGATTTGGGTGAGGAATTGCTATTACAACAATAATAAAAGGCTTACGCCAGAGTTCCCAAACCATGTTCCATGATATACCATGCCAATAGTTTTCCCATGTAAAAGGGTTACATTGCCAAATAAATTTGAGCAATGTTGGGCATATCAGTTAGATTGTTGTTATCTACAATCAGAAGTATACTTGGCTTAATACAAAAGGATGCTTACCGAGCTGGTCAGATAGTTCTATCCTGTCATGAAGAACTAGGTGTTTTCTAACATTTCCTCCTGCCACATGCTCAGTGTTAGCTAATTCCCTCATGGCTCCCAGATGCTGGCCACAGCTCCATACATCACACACTTACACATCTGTGTCCCAAGAAGAAAGAGGAGCTGGAGCACAAGCATTTTCTCTTCATTTCTCTATATTTAGGTAAGAATATTTCCCCAAGAAGCCTTCACAGAATTCTTCCTAAATCTTACTGACAGAAGCTGAGTCAGATACCCACTCTTAAATTAATTATTGGCAATGGGTATTAGTTTGTACCATTGTTCCCAGCTGGAACATTGCTATCTAAACAAAATCAAGGTTCTCTTGGCAAGGAAAAAGGAAGAGTGGTTGCTGGGTGAACAATTAACAGTTTCTGCATACTGGTTAAAACAAAGTTAAAATGTTTCTATATTACAAGCCCCCTCAGAGTCTTTATGGTGCTAATGAACAACTGAATCTCCAAGAGAGGAATAACAGAGTAGTTAGCATTTCCCAAGCATATTTGACTATGAAAACATTCTTTGGAAGAACATTTATTATGATCTTCTGGAAGTCTATTATCCCACAGAGTGTAGTTTCAAAAATGTTAATTTAGAAGTGCCTCTTCTATAAGGTACCTTATGCTCTTCTTAAATACATGCTTAAATGAAATAATTTTGAGGAGGGAGTCGACATAAGATGTGAGTCACTTCTGCCTACATTCATAGGGATGATTTATTCTTCACAACTTTTCTTTTCAATATATGGTAATGGCCTAAAGATAAAATGCATTTTTAAAAAACTATTCTTGTCTGATGCCAGCCAGAAATAAAAGATGTACATTGAGTTTTGGGATATAACGCAAGAACCGTAAGTCACTTCTACCAAAAGGCATCCAGGTAAACAGGTTCAAAAAGAAACAATAGTGTCATAAAACTCATCACTGTCCTTCCCACTAACCTTAGCAAAAAGAGAGGAGAGAAAAAAATACATTAGCAAGAGTTTTCACCAATCCTTCTGGACAAACAACTCATTGTGTTAAGACTCTGGCTTTATTTTGAAACATGTATTAATGACAATCTTGCTCTAAAACACTTCCCCTTCCTTTGATTACAAATGTTCTTCCAACATTAGATGCCCACAGTTCTCCAATTAGTTAAATGAGTTTAAGTCACATTTTTGCATTTTACTTGCCCTTTCACAGGATCTTCCTTCCTTTCTGGACATAGCCTTTCGAGTCCCTTTCGCAATTCACCAGCCACTTAGTATCTTCCTGGAGCACTCTGGACCAAGTTTCTCTCCCAGTCTCTTCTCATTTGAAATTTCTTGTAATGCACGGAGCCTCGCATAACTCTTGAGAGTTTTTTTCCATCTGTTTTCCGTATGCTCTGCATATACTAAGACATTGCACGACTTGCGTGATTCATCACAGATACCTACATACTACATTCTCTGGCAACTGTGATTTTCTTAAAAAAAATTACTAATATAAAAAAATGAAAACACTGGCCCTTCCATAGTCTTGTAGACTCTCTCCCTCTTGTCACCTAGAGAAATACACTAGCACAAAAGCACCATTGTGTCACTGCCCACCTTTTCCATACTGACAACAATAAATCCCTCAGTCTTCATGCAAGTCGGTGAAATAAATTCCATCGGTGAGATTACAGGGATTGTGTGTCAAGGGAATAGATAAATGATACACCGGAGACTTAACAAAGTACCAGAATGGGAGTTCGTGACTGTTTGTTGTTGTTGAAAAGACTTATACACATGACTCTTCTAGATTCGCTTTAAAAATTACCCCTGAGCAAATACTCCTTTAACCTGAGTGCCATATCAAAGGCCTAGAAGGTGCGTGCCCTCAGCAACAGGGTGCCCTGGGTGTCGCGAAACATTTTCTACTTTCCTAGTCCGAAAGCAGAGATGCACCACCGCCTGCCTTGTGCTGGAGGTGGCAGTTTTAAACCTCATCCCTCTAAGTTTCAACTGGGCTTAAAAACTGCATGTTGCTTTGGGTTCCCAATGTTACTGGCTTTCAAACCCGAGGAAAAATAAAGTTTTAAGTCATTAATAATTCTTGAGAGAAATGTACTCTCATCAACTGGAATGACAAGGGTGAAATGAAAATTAGGAAAGCCTTCAAGATTTTCCAGGCGATACATTTTATCTTCTTGCTGGATTTCTGACAGTTCAGAAAGTAGGAATCATTGTCCTGTTGAAAACGTTCTTGCTTTCCCATGGGAAGAAGGAGCAAGCTATCTGATCAGGGTGATAGAAATCCACTGGTACATCAAAATCTGGTCCTTAACTCATTTGCTGTTTGCCCTAAGAATACTCTCTGGTGGTCCTTGTGGCTGCAGCGTTTACCCAGAGATAACTCGCAGATTACAGTCCTAACCTTACCCCTAAAGTTTGCCATGAAATGTCTCACTGTTATTATTATTTTCACATCACTCTAGTATAGCAACAGTCTTTGGAAACAAATGACCCCATTCTATTTATAGCATTCTGTTTTTAGTAGTGGTATTTCCACTTACAAAATATAGTAATTCTTGATCGCTAAAAATGTCAAGTCGCAGAACACGTAGCATTCCTACCCGTGATGTTAAATTAATGCTGGCAGCGAGCTGCACTTTTTTTTTCCCTAAACTGGAAAAGGGTTAAATCTTAAAGTCAAGGTATAAATTTCAAAACTAAGCTCTGTTTTGATTCAGGAACATGAAAACATTGTTTCTATGGAGTCAGAGCGATTCTGACGGCAATGGGGAAGAGTTTCACAGCTTTTCCATTATTTAAGAGACCTGACCTAGGGCCTAGGGAAATAGAGATCTTAGCTACATTAGGCTGCTGCTAATAGATGTGTACCCCAAACAGTAACACAATCCTCACTGGCAGCTTTACTTTGCTAGTAAATTATCTACTGAAGGACGTTATACGTCCTGAAAACGAAACAGTGTTACTTGAAATTGCAGAAACTATGCCAGGCAGAGACTTTTGCCCACGAATGAGAATAATTTTTTATTGGGTAAACTCTAAAGCAAGCAGTCTAGGGCCAGTGGGTGTGCTAGGAAATGGCATTTTAACTCTTACCAGTCAGTAGTTGGAACGGAGCATGCTGGGTCACATAATCAATGATGTTCTAGAGCCAGACCATACTGGCTAGTGAGAGCCACTGTTAAATATTCAGGAATACTGCAAACCACAACTGTTGTCAGCTTGCAGTATTCCACAGTAGGAATGTACACCATGGAAATTGACAAATATTACAAATGGGGCTTTTTTCCCCCTCCTGAGAGCCAGTTTACCGGTACGCCGCTGCACATAGGCTCAAGCAAACAGAATAACTTCCAGAATTGAGAAAATGTTTCATCTTTCCTAAAGAGCAGAACCAGAAATCAACCAGCCAATTTGAAAGGAAATAAAATCACGAAAAAAAAGACTTTATGTTGCTAACTTAAAACAATTCTTAATCCTAGAAAAGCTTTCTCCAAGTTTGTAATTTCACATTCATTCCAAGTGACATGTGTAGAAGGACTTAGCTCTTGCTTGGTACTGGGGTGGGAGAACAGGATGACTTTTGCTCACCCTAGGAATACAGTGTTGGATATCTACAATGTGCAAAGTTAAAGGGGGAAAAAAACCTATTACGAGCAACAGCATGAAAGAGGAGTGATTATTTTTCAAATATTTAAATATAGGTCACAGAGTCTGCAGAGATGCTCACTGAAATGTTAATTACATTCAATTCAACTTGACAAATATTTACAAACAATAAGTATTGTTGAATTGAATTGAAATGTTAACATTTATCCTCCTGTGATATTTCTCTGCAAAACTTAGAAAATATCCTTTGACTATAAATTAAATTCCACCCTGAGATGAATGTTAATTTTATAATACATATGATGATTAAATATTTATATCTAGCCTCTTTCAAGACACCTGTTATTGAATTGCTTAGCAGCTTAGACAAAATAATGTGGAGATTCTACCACACTTAAATAGTATGAGAAAATACAGAAAAGTGAACAGAGCTTTCTGACTTTTATTTTAATTTAATGATCAACCGTGAATATTTGTGGTAGACGGTTTCATTTTTTTTACCACTAGGTAGTTATCGCCCTACTTCTGATAGAGGCGCTTTAATCCTATTTCTACTAAAGACACACTCCTCACCTACTTTCAGTACATAGTCTATAGGAGGAATTGACAGTCTCCTCAGTGCCAAGGAAGGTCATATGACTCACCGTAACTAATAAGAATGTCACATTTCCCTGACAACACACTGATTCAGAGATGGACACTTGCCTCATCCAAAAATAATTAAAACTTTCCTTAGGATTGTTGAGAGAGGAGCACTCTCTCCTTTTGACCTTGAACTTGAGCCTGGGAGGATATAGATCTAAAACTCCTGGCAGCTAACTTCTTACATAGGAATAAACCCAACACGAAGGAAGGCACACCTGACAGATGAAGAGACTGAGGCCTGGTGATATTGTTTAAGCCCCTAGAATAAACCATTCCAGAAGTCGTCACTACGTTAGCTTATAAGTAACATGAGATAATAAATTATCTTTTTTTGTTTGTTTGTATACAATACCTAGAGTCAAGGTTTCTGTTGCTTATCACCAAAAGAATCCTGATACAATATTTACAGACTTTTAAAACTACTTCTTAAGCTACAGTTACCAGAATTGCTGACTTCTTACAGTCTTCTGAAAGCACCAAAGCCATCCTTTTACCTGTCCTTATATCCAAGCCCTTTGTCATGTAACCTTGCAGTTCTTCCTGCAAAATGTCAGAGTTTACTTCCTGCCTCTTGACATTGAGTTTGGCCATGTGATTTGCATTGGCGATTGGAACACTAGTAGATATGATGCAATCAGGAGGTTAAACGGGGCTTGGCTTATTGGGCTTCTGTCAGCACCATCAAGAGAACATGTTCTGGCAAGCCTGCTGGTCCAAGGAAGATGTGAGACAGGTGGAGAAGAGACCCAGACCTTCCCCCACTACCCCATAGCCACCGTCATATGAGATAAAGCCACTCCAAACTTGCAGACCTCTTAGGAAAAAAATTGTTGTTTTAAGATACTGCGTTTTCAGACAGTCTGCGGTGCATCACTGTTGCACAGAATGTTGCACAGAATACCCACACGACTCCCAGTATAGAAAGAAGAAATTGTTTTAAATCTCTAAGGACATACTTCAGGTTTTTGCAAGCGAAATGTAAACAGGGAGTGAAAGAGAGATTATCTAAACCAGAGATCACAAACTCTGATGCCTACAGTCGCCAAGCATATAAAAAAATAATAACTAAAACTCATAGAGCATGTAGTATATGCCAGGCACTGTTCTCAGTGTTTATAAATATCAGTTCATTTAATCCTCATAACAATTTTTGAGTTAGATGCTGCTGTTATCTCCATCTTACTGGGATGAAACTGAGGTACAGAAAGGTTAGGAAACTTGCCCAAGTAACAGTTTGTACATGGTAGAGCTAGGTTTGTGTCCTGGTTGCTCGCACTTCTATGCTGTAGTAAAATACACCAGACAAAAAACGGGAGGGAGTGGAGAGGACTCTAATTCTCCGGAGAGTCGCACATCATGTTCAGTGGTTTGTCACCATGTGGGAATGAGAGCATTCTGATCTTTCAGTAGATGCCAAAAATCTAGATTTTTGACAAATCTCTCTGTTCTAAATATTTTAAATGTTTGATTTTTTTTTTTAAACACCATGAAGGTTAACCCTATAAAGTCCAGGCCCAGCAAATCACATTTAAAACCAAGTTTGGTCATGAAACCAAATTCGATCATGGCCTGCCCATCTGCACCCACTGACCCAGGCTTAGCAGCAGAGTCCTGTTCAAGTGGCAAACATCCAGCATCTATATCTCAAGAGCTTTTCTAAGGTCTTTGAAAATGGTTTCAAAAGTTTCGTCTCTAATGTTACAACACAGCAAGCAACCAAGGCGCTCCCACATCACTTTTACCTGTTTGCCTTTATATCAGCCCTGCATTCTCGAGACCTGCTTTTCAGGTCCTTGAAGTCACCGTGATCTTTCTCACATCCGGAGGTTTGGGCTATGTGTCCCCTCCACTTGGCTCACTCTTCTCTCCTTTCTTCATTGAGGGTCACTTCCCCCCAGGAAGCCTCTGCCGATGCTCCTCGAGAATATACCAGGGGACCCTCCTGAGTGGTCTGGAGCACCACATACCTCCCCTTACCAAAAAGTAGGTTCCCTTATATTTTGTCTGCTTCGGTGCCTGAATGTGTCTCTTACTAAGCTAGGATCCTGGGGGGCGGGGCTAAGACTGCTGTGTTCACAGTTCCTCACATACAGTAGGTAATGAAAAAGTGGTTATCAGATGAAAGAAGGAAAGCACTGATGAAAGAACATGTGCAGCCCTTGTAAATATTGCTTTCATTGGGTCTATTACAGATAGACAGACATGGACACACACATACACACACGTACCTAGATAAAGCAAGAGCACGATTAACTCTTTCTTCAAGGCCTACTGTGCCCAGGGCCTTCCAAGTCATCCAGAATTTGAATGCGTCTGGTCTCCTGCTACACTGGATCGACTTATCTCCTGTGTCATAGCTGACATCATAGAATTTATCCTGCTGGAAGAGGTAAGATGCCTTGGCAGAGTAGCATTTCTTAAGAATATCCTTTTAGATAAAAGAAAAAGAAGAGGAAAGAAAGATTGTAAGACTGTCAATTTGATCCTTTTGGATAAAAGAAAAAGAAGAAGAGGAAAGAAAGATTGTAAGACTGTCAATTTTTAAAATATACTTGATTTAGAAATCAAATACCCATAAATATAACCTGTGTGATATTCTACTATTTTGTGCCAAAGGCGTTTGGTCTTATTCTATGACTGCCATACATCAGGAGCAATAGGTATGTAGTAAGTTGGGGACACAGATTACCTACTGTATTTCCAAAAAATTCTCAGAGTTGAGAATGCTAAGTCCATCCTCAACAAGTGTATTGATGAATAATGAGAAGCTTTGAGACAACTATGTCACCATCTGTATGACATCAAGGTGGGCCAATTTCTTAAAATGAAAAAAAATAATGTATGTATAACTCACTCAAGGCTCCATAATGGGGGGGGAAACCTCTAACATATTATACATACTTTATACAATTTCATAGGCAAAAAACTAGGCTTTTAAAACCTTTTCTTTTCAACTCATAACCATATCGGAAAGGGCAGGAGTGACAATAACCCAGAGATAAAACACCTGAGGAAAGATCTATGGAAGAGTCAAAAAAGTGCCAACAAGTTTTAACCACCACAAAATATCAGCTACAATTCCAAAGAGTTTTTTGAGTTTGTCTCACATTAGTTTTATTTGCAACTAAATTCAATTTGCATTTACTGACTGGTTACTTCTCACCAAGCATTGAACAATAATTCACCAGTTTATTATCATTCTAGAGTCTTTACTTTGACTTCAAATGATTAGAGTTTAAGCCCTGTTGACCTCAAGGTCATTTGATATCTGCAAAATCCTGGATTTTCTAACTTGTTCTTCATAGCCCCCATAATTCCCCAAGCATCTTCATTCCCAGAGAATACCTATTAGAACCATTTGACCCTCACCCAGCAAAACTAAACTACTCAATGCTCCTTAACCACTAGATCATGTCCCATTTGTATCTTTGCTCACACCATTTGCTTGACCCTGTCTCTAATTTAATATAATAATTGACACATTCAAAAGAATACATCTAGCATATTTATAAGTTCTAAAGTTTACTAACACCAAATAGTTTTCCCTCTTTAACTAGATCTGCCCTTCTTTTGGCTTCATCTCAAGTTCTGCTTTCCCTCCAATTTCTTTATCTGCTCATCCCATTCGACTCACTTCCTCCTTTTACATTTGGCTGCATTCGTTGGCTTTACTCCTTCCTGTGCTGCCTGTCCTGAATGAGCAGTCTGCATGTATTCTCTCCTAGTGTGGCCAAGCACGTTCTTGGGGGCAGGAATCATTTTTTATCTAGGTCCATATCCATAGAGCTTAACAATGTATTGGGTGCAGAGGAACCTAACTAAGCAATGAGGGTAATGATAACACTCCCCACATTCCACACTTTTCTCACATTCCCCTGACATGTAGTATGATCAGAATAAACACAGATATATAAACATCTCATTTGGTGCATCTTCCAAACCTCAATGCTGTATAGGAAGCTATGGAGAAACTCCAAGAAGTCATAGAGGTCCTAGAAAATGATCCCTCTGAACAGAGAACTTATTGAATGTATTCGTTTGACTGATCAACTTGTACTTAAAGAATTTAAAAAATCTCAAGGTATCACATTTCAAATAAAAGCATGTATTTGCTGTCTTAATAGCAATATTGTCTTGTGTGAACACTAAGCTGGGTAATGTATATAATGTATTCTATTACCATAAAGCATGATTTTATACAATGTAGAAAATATATATAACGGCTATAACCAAGAACTCCAAAATCTCACTTATCCAGTATCCAAAATAAACTGAGTGTAATATAATAATTAAAGAAATACTAGCAAGCCTTCAGTCTGGCTCTGGTGGATGTTATTAGCAGACATTGGGGAAGAGTAGATTGCTCTGACCTGAACATTAAGGTAGAAAGAGCACCTTACTCTTTAAGCTACTTTCACTCTATCAGCAATCTCTCAACTCCAATCACAGCTGCCACCACTGCATCTCCCAACCCTCAAATGTCAGGAAATTTGGTTATTGTTTCCATAGCAACCACAGCCTGACCATACATCATAACATTAAAAGGCCACTGCATATATTTTAAGGACAAAGCATGCACGTACACACTTGTATCGCATCATGATTATAAATTTACTTTTGTCAACCATGAAAGATTCCAAAAAATTCCCAAAGCAGATGAACTTTGGACATGTCTTGGGGAGGTTTCAGTGACTTATTCTAGTGGTTGAAAGGGAGAGGAAGCCCATTCATTATCAGAAGACAAACTGCATCATCATAAGCAAACAGAGAAGAGGAAAGCCAAGAAAACACAGCAGAGTGAGTGACTGTCCTGCGGCAGTGACACTGTTAATTTCATTGCACTGAAAAATCCTCCTGCCTTGGGAAGGTTTCGTAAAGAACAAGTGGAGGCTTGGGATTTACTTCATTGAAAACAAATGAAAACTTTCCCCCCAAAAGGTTTTGCTTTGCATTTTAGTTTATGTTCTTGTATTAAAATGAACGAAATGTCTTTAGTTTGAGATACACACTAAGGGAAGATGCTCAGATCTCCAGAGACAACAACATTTTGGAATAAGTATAGTAGAAGTTTACATTCTTCATGTTTTTAACTGTAAAATACATAATTAGTTATTATTGCACTATCAAAGAGAAGGGCCATGTTTATATTGCTCATCTTTATACACATAATCCTCACAGGAAAATAAATACTAGTTATGTGAATTCCAGAGACAAGTATTCAATGAGAATACTAATTGCTTTATGTTGTGATATCATCTCAAACAATTCTCAGGAATTAGTACACAATGTATGAGCATTCTCAAAGTGGCAAGTGAGAGAAATGCAATCAAAATAGCTTAAGCAAAAAGGGGGTTTTTTATAGGCTCATATTTTTAAAAATCCAGACATATATAATATTCAGGCACGGTTGGATCCAGGATTAAACTTGGAATCTGTCTCTTTCTTCTCGTTCTAGTTTCTTCTACATTGGCCTCATTCCCAAAGCAGAAAGCTGGTAAGAAGACTTGGAACTGGGGCTTGAAGTGGGGCCTGTGAGCACAGAGGGAAGCTCCATTTGGAGAGAGATGGGAAAGACAAAAGAGACAGCCTCTGCCAGTGATGCTACCCAAGCAGTGAGACACTGTCAGCCTCCGTCTGAACCTTCTGCTGCTCAAAACTAGCAGGAAGCCAACTGGCAAGGGAGCCTGGGAAATGTGGTTTGCAGGAGTCAGGCCTCTTTCAGAACAAGGCAGAAGAAGGCTGAAGAATAAATTATGCAGTAAAGAATAAACTGGCAAATGACACGCACACTGCATAAGTACAGAAACAACAACTTTTTTCACCATTTGTGTTCATGACAGCTAACCTAGCACATAATCACAATGGCCGGAACCAACATTTATAAAGTTCTTACTAGGTGCTAAGCACTGTATATGTACAAGCTCATTTAAATCTCATGTCGTATTATTTTTTCAATGTCCATGCACATGTGAAGAGACTGCAACACAGCAAGGTTTGGTTAATTACCTAAGATCATGTCCCTAGTAAGCAGTTTCATACCAAGGCTGCTTGGATTCAGGGCCTCAACTCTTTACCCTCTACTCTCTACAGCGAGTACTTAAATATATGTGGAAGACAGTGCTCCATAAACGTTTATTAAGAGTTTTTAAAGAGGTCGGTGAAAAAGAAAGTGGCAGTAGAGAACTCAATGAATCAGAGGTCAACACAACTAACATCGTGTCAGATCCTTACTTTTTTCCTGTTCTACGACTTCTGGTTTTACTATTGGTAATATCTTGTCTATGAGACATTTTGAGATTTTTCTAAGTACTTGTGACTCTGGTAATAGTTAAGGATATCACTAAAAACACATAATGAATCAGTAGGTTGTATGTTTTCCTTGTCAAGATCAGTCATCTTCGATTTCCACATGCCAGAACAGACTCTGCAGTCTCTTTCCCAGGAGTCGATGACCAACCACATGGGTCTATTTTAAGTCTTCACTCCTTGTAATCACGTGTTCAGCTAAGCAAACAAAAGCTACCAAGAACTCTTCCCGTTTGGTTCTTCCCATATTGTCCCATATCACCATTATTTAGGCAAGAAATTGCTTACACTAAATGCCTCAGAAAATGGGTATATTAGTCATCTTTGTATCAATTCATTCCAAAATTATGTATTGAGGACCCATTTAATAACGAGCACTATGATGCTAGGAGTTTGGGCATATGACCTCATTGGAAGTACTAAGCATCTAGGCTAACATTTGTTGACTGAATGTGCAAAACTAAATTTAGGCTGTGAATAGCAGAAAAGCTGGGTTGTAATCTAGAATATAAAAGTGAATTAAAAAAAAATAAAAATGAATTTTTAAAATGATTATACCTTCTGACACTGGCTTTATTTATTTATTGAGTGAACATTTTGAGAGGCTTAATATATGCCAAAAGCTGCGCTAGGCACTGGTGCTGTAATGGAAATAAGTTGCTATCCTTAAGGAGTTTAAGATGAAGATAGGAACAGAAAAAA